GCTAGACTAGTAAAGAAAAAGCGATTCATCGAACACGACTAAACAACAAATGCATTGTATATGCAATGTCACATTGTGCCATCAGATGGAGATATGGAGTCCTGTTTTTTCTCTACCTGTCTTCTTCGGTGTGTCTAGATCAGGGGTCAGCAAACTAAGACACGGGGGCCGAATTCGGCCCAATCGCCTTCTCAAGCCGGCCTGCGGACGGTCCAGGAATCAGTGTGTTTTTACATGAGTAGAATGTGTCCTTTTATTTAAATACATCTCTGGGTTATTTGTGGGGCATAGGAATTCATTCAATTTTTTTCCCAAAATATAGTCCGGCCCCCCACAAGGTCTGAAGGATAGTGGACTGGCCCCCTGCTGAAAAAGTTTGCTGACCCCTGGTCTAGATCCAGCCTGTATCTCTACTGACACAGCATTCACTTTGTGTGTCAAAAACATTTGCTTTAAGTTATGTACATTAACCGTGTACAGTCATACCTGGGGTTGAATATGCTTCATGTTGAGCACGTTCGAGTTGCGCTCTGCGGCAATCCGGAAGTAACGGAGTGCGTTACTTCTGGGTTTCGTCGCTCGCGCATGCGCTCAAAATGCCGTCATGCGCAGAAGTGGTGAAAAGCAACATGCGCATGTGCAGACGTGCCTTCGCTAGTTACGTTTGCTTCTGGATGCAAACAGGGCTCCGGAACGGATCCCGTTCGCATCCCGAGGTACCACTGTATGTGTACTGCACGCACACACCTCTTTCCTTCTTGCAGAAATTTTATCTACACGTTTTAGGTGGGGCGAGAATTTTTTTGGCAAAGAACTGAATGATAGCAAGGATATGTGAAAGCATCCTGTGTAGGAGGATCATGTGTGGAGATCAAGGCAGTAAGGAGCAGCGAGACTTGCTTTCAGGCCAAATGCTTACAATCATACTGTGTGAGCCAATTTAAAGAAGCGGTTTCAGTTACTTCCTTGTAGGAAATGAGTCTTGTCTGAAGCAAGCCTAAAGAGAAGTGGAGACGGCAGACACAGAAGCTCCACACCGCTTTGAAACATGAACGCAGCAAAACAAATGTTGACATTTTCAGGAAAGAAAGAAAAAAGCCCAGGGAGAAATTATCCTTGTGGGATAACAGATGAATTTTCCTGGTTCCAGATAACACTTTCTAAGGGTCCTCTGCATATCAAAGAAACCTATTTAAAAACCAGTTTTACTGTCATTGTTTCCCTCTTGCGTAAAAACTGGAGGGGGGGGCTGCAATTCTAACAAGGATAAAAATTCTTTGCACCTTAATGCACTGTAGGAAGTTGCAGCTACAAGCAACTGACCCAGCTTCTCTCTTCTGGTGTAGAGGGCTAGTGCTGGCGTCCCTCCTAATGTCTTATGCCCACTGACAGAAATTAGTCAGGCACCATGTGTGTTTTGCGACTGACACAGGTCCTACGATGACCATGTGGGGATCTCTGGACGCCAGACTGGTGACTGGGGAAAGCAAAATGTCACTTAGAGAAAGATCTGAAATATTTTCCTTGAAGCTTTCATTTGTTTTATTCTGGATTGTTTCATTTGATGTTTTAAAACGTTGCAAACCACTTTGAGAGTTGTTCTTTAAAATATAAAGTAGTACAGAGATGAAATCAATACTTTTTGTTTAAGAAAACTTCACTGGGGGGAAAAGGCACCGAGACACTCCACTGTGGCAACCGAAACCCAGGTTTAAGGTGCCAATGGGCAATTAGATTATATATCTGAGTTTCTAACACGGCAAGTTATGCCAGACAAAATGCAATGTTAACCAAAGTATCTTACATATGCTGTATCTAGATTCAGGTAGGTAGCCGTGTTGGTCTGATGCAGTAGAAATAAAATAAATAAATAAATAAATAAAAATTTTGTCCAGTAGCACCTTAGAGACCAACCAAGTTTGTTCTGGGTATAAGCTTTCGTGTGCATACAAACTTCTTCAGATACACTGAGACATAAGTCCTGTATCTGCACAAGTCTCTGGCCTCCAGTACAACACCAGAAAAATTGGTACACAGAGGTTAACTTTCAAACAAATTGTGCTACAGCTTCCGCCATACACTTCTTATCCAAGTTGTGTTAAATGCACTAAGTTCTATTCAAACCACTCCCACATAACCATAGGTCTGGGGAAGAAGCCATTCCCTCTCTCTCCTCCAGTGCCCTTGCAGCCCTGCACAGTTCAAAGCGTAGCCTGCCTTAGATAAAAGGAACTCCACCACACCCAGTTTCTATTGATATGCAAAGGATAGGCAGTCTGCCACTTCCCCTGACAAGCAGCTCCTCTGCTACAGCAACTTTGAGCCTTGGCTCATTCCTCCCAACACAGTTTGGGAAGAGGGTTAGTAGACAAAACTTTTACCTCTTCGTACATCACCTGCTTCCGAGACATAGTTAATGTGGGGGTAAAAACCCAACGGCCCCTTCACACATCAAACATCTTGGAAAGAAGAAGGAAGGAAGGAAGGAAGGAAGGAAGGAAGGAAGGAAGGAAGGAAGGAAGGAAGGAGTCTAGGATAGGAATGGAGCACTCCTTTTTGAAAGGCACTTGCAAGACACTAAATGCACAAACTAAAGGCATCTCCAACGCTGTGGGCCAGATCCTGAACTGCAGAGTGCCTAAAGGCTGTGCTAGTCCCTGAACCTATTGAAAGAACCAGTGAGATATCTGCCTTTTCCTCCAGTGCCTGGGTTCTAATAGGGAAGGGAATTGGGCAACAACCTTGGCCCTCATTGGTAGAGATGGGGAACCTGTGTCCCTCTAGATTTTGGCCCTCCAACTCTCAGCCAGCATGGTCAATGGGTCAGGGATGATGGGAGTTGTAGTCCAACAACTGGAGGGCCACAGGTTCTCCCTCCCCCACCCTGCTTTTTTTGGGGAAGCTACAGCAGCAAGTTGAGCAATGACAGTTTCGCTAGAGCTGGCTCTGCTTCCCTTAGCACAGCCAATGAGCCAGGAGCTTTCTAGCATTCCCTACCAGAGCTGCAAAGACTTCCAAGCCTTAATCCACCCATTTCCAGGAACGAGAGCTGTCTAAGGAATCCATCTCCTCCCTGTCTAAGAGTACAGATTTGCTCTCTTGCAAGGATCCTCGCCCTGGACCGAGCACCCTGCATTTCTTCAGGCAAACAGGGAATCCTCCTTCTATGCCAACCAGTCAAAGCGTAAAAGCACACACACCAATTTAGGGACAGGTAAAGACTGTGGGTGGCGCTGTGGGTAAAAGCCTCAGCGCCTAGGGCTTGCCGATCGAAAGGTCGGCGGTTCGAATCCCCGCGGCGGGGTGCGCTCCTGCTGCTCGGTCCCAGCGCCTGCCAACCTAGCAGTTCGAAAGCACCCCCGGGTGCAAGTAGATAAATAGGGACCGCTTACCAGCGGGAAGGTAAACGGCGTTTCCGTGTGCGGCTCTGGCTCGCCAGAGCAGCGATGTCACACTGGCCACGTGACCCGGAAGTGTCTCCGGACAGCGCTGGCCCCCGGCCTCTTAAGTGAGATGGGCGCACAACCCTAGAGTCTGTCAAGACTGGCCCGTACGGGCAGGGGTACCTTTACCTTTAAAGACTGTGGGAATAGGTTAGGCACCTGCACTATGGTCCCCTTCTGCACTGTCCAAAGGGATTGGGGTGGGTGCATTTAAACATTAAAAAGATGCAAGTCTACATATAACCAGAACCCAGGAGAAATATATTTATTTAGCAGAATTTATACACCTTTCAATTGTCAATATCTCAGTGGTACACATTATTTCTCTTACAGAGCATGCAAGGGCCCACCCTTCACAATGACTGGAGAAGGAGCCGTCAGTGGGGGGAAATCAACTTGAGACAGAAGTTTGCACTTCTGTTAGGAATCCCAACAATAGAGATTAGGCTGGGTTCCTATGCCCCCCACCCCGCACCACAAAAAAACACCTGGTGACTGCCTCCCTTCTTATCAACAGATTAAATGTATTTATTTAGGGCAAGTTTGCCCCACCTTTCAACTTTAAAATTCCCCTTTGTGCAAGAAGACGGAAAATCTTTTTTCTTTTTTTTAAAGTCTCTGGCCTCCAGTAAAGAAAGGAAGAAAAAAATAAGGGGTGGGGGCCGGCAAATCCTTCAAAGTTACTGCTTTCCAACCAGTGCCTTATGCCCCCCCTTTCTCAAAATGGGGAGGTGGGACAAAAAAAGGGGGTTCCTATTTAAGGGGGAAAGAGCAGGGTGAGGTTGTTCTTGGCTGCTTGGAATTATCCTGGATTTCATCAGGAGGCCGCCCCATCTCCACGTCCAAAATCAAGGAGGATTTGGAAAGAAAGCAGATTGGGGGGGGGGGGGTTGGAAAGAAAAATAGGAAGAGCCCCATCTTGACACTGGCCTGAGTCTGTGTGTGAGGAGGGGGGGGTTCCTCGAAAAAAGGCGCGCGCGCCCCTTCCCCTCCCGCGCCCAGGATTAAGAAAAAGGGGGGGGGATGGAATATAAAGTAGCCGTGCAAATCTACCCCAGGAGTCGCGGCCTAGCGCGACAGGAGGGCGGGAAATAAAATAAGCGCAATTAATAATAGTATTAACAACAACAACAACACAGCCCTCCCCCCCCCCGAGTTAGGGTCTCTTCATCCTCCTCCCCCCTCAGAAAGAGGGTCAAAATAACTCCCTGTTTTTTAAAGGGAACCCCCCCCCTCCCTCACGGCCGGCCTAAGTCTCCCTCCTTCCCCTCAGAGGCTCCTCGGGGCCTAGTCAGGCCTCGGCGGCGGCGGCGGCCCCGGTGTGTGTGTGGGGGGGGGTTGTTCGTGAGGGGGGGTCGGAGCGCGCGCGCGCCCGGTCGGCGGGGGCGGCTGGCGGCCCCTTTCCCCTTCTTCTTCTCCTTCTTCTTCTTCTTGGGAAGAGGAGGAGGAGGAGGCGGAGGGCGAGGAGGTGCGGGGCCCCCGCGTTGCTGCGGCTGCGCCGGGTCTGGCGCGAGGCGAGTGAGGAGCTGCTGGGAGATTGCGCGGTAGGACACTCACCTCAGAGCGGCTGCGCTGCGGCGGGCCTGCGCCGTGGAGGAAGAAGGAGAAGCCAGGCAGGCAGGCAGGCAGGAGGAGGAGGAGGGCGGCGGCGGCGGCGGCGGGATGTGGCGGCGGAGGAGGCTGCTGCGACTGGGCGCGGGAGACCCGCACACGCGGGAGCGAGGGAAGGAGGGAGGAGGAGGGGAGCGGGCGCGCGCCCCTCCTCGGGCTCGGCTGAGGGGAACAGGCGCGGCCTAGGCTGAGAGGAGGCCTCGCCACCTCACGGCTGAGGAGCCGCTGCCGCGATGGCGGGAGCCAAAGGGGGGGAAATAAAGCCGGGAAGGCGGGCGCCTCAGAACGGGCCTAGCTCGGGCGGCACTCGAGTCGGGCGGTGGTGGCAGGAGCAGCACCAGGCCGGAGGGGAGGGGGGAGGGAGGACGCACGGCGTGAGGGGAGCCGCCGCGCCGCCATGATGGGAAGGGCAACGAGGCTTTGGTTGGGTTTTCTGTGCTTTAATCCTCCTCACGCCGATAGAGAAACGACCGAGGGAAGACGGGGCGAGGCTTTTAATAGGCCTGGAGAGCTGGCGGCGTGGGTCGGAAAGAGGGGCGCGTAGTTGGGTTGTGGGTGGGAGAAGACGAACGGGCGCCATTTTGGGAAGGTCGGCTCGCAAAAGCGTCCCCGATCCGAGCGGGCTGTGCGGCCGCCATGATGGGAAGGGCGCTAGGCGCTCGGAAGAGAAGGCGGCGCCATGTTGAGGAGGGCGGGGGGAGGCTCGCCATGTTGGGAAGGTCTTCGGGTGTTCTTTCTGCAATGGGCGCCCGTCGCCACGTTGAGGAGGAGGAGGAGGCGCCCCTTGAAAGGAGGAGGGAGGGTGGTAGTGAAGGGAGCGGGGAAGAGCCCGGTGATAAGCAGGGGCCTGGGACGTCAAGCATTGGCCAGTTAAAGCGGCACCCTCGTGGCTTTGCAAAACAGGCTCGGGAAGAAATGCAGGCCTCTGCCCCGAAGGGCTTACAATCTACAGTTCAAGCAATACTGGGCAAAAGATGGCTAATAAGGTGGGGGTGGTTAAGAGGATGGGAAGGCGAGGCCGCTTGTCTCCTGGCCTTCGCCTCTGTGCCACCAGCCTTTTTGGAACTTATTTTTTACATTTTTATGTACGGTATAAATAAATACATAATGCCAGCTTTGGGCAGCCAACTGCTTTTAACGAGAGGCATAGTGCTGTGCTGTTTTATGGTAATTGTATGTATGTTTTGAATAGATTTATTTATCCCTCAAGTAATTAAGGAACAAAAGAAGAAAAGGCACACTAGCCTGGGAACTTCCTCTCTGCCCAGAACATTGGAGGCTATACACCACACCCCCTCAACAGTATTTATAGGAACTCAAACACTGAGATCCTGCTCTGTTCCAGTAACAAGAAGCCGAAAGCACCAGCCTGAAGATGACGAGTGAGACCTCGTCGAAACGTCGCCTAGACACCCCAACTTTTACACGGGAAGACACCCGAGGACACCAAAACCTGCATTCCTGTACCCGTGAAAATCTACGAAAGCAAATATATATATATATATATATGGCTTAAATTCTATTAATGTTTAATTGTTTTTAATGACTCCCCCTTTGTTTTCAGCTATTTATCTTTAAGCCACCTTAAGTCCCTGCCATAGTGTTACCGGAAAAAATCTGAGGGCTCTCTTGGACAAAAACAAAGACACCAACCAGGATAACTTGGAGCAAAACAGCAGCCTTTAGGCTTGGCCTTTATTGAACTGTTGCAACAGGGTGTTCCCCTCACTAGCAAGAGAGAGGAAAGACCCAGAACAATGGCCTGCAAGACCTTATAAAAACTTTTGAAATTCCCCTCCTCCAGGTCAAGCCCACCCCCAGAAACATCATGCATACATTACAGAAGGGGTTGACATCATGCATACATTACAGAAAGGAGGGGTTGAGGGAGGAATTGTGGTGGTAACCTGAGTGTCCTGTCACCTGGCTGGTTCCTCCTTTCCCCCTCCCCATGAGTACTTTCCAGGTGACAAAGGGGAGTTTGCAGTTTCCTGCCCCCCAGAGGGAAGATCTGATCATTGTCCTTTGTTTCAGTCTGTGCTGAATCCACTACCATATGCAAGTTCTTTGTCATTTTGATTGTCTTCTGTCTGGGATTATCAAGGCTGACATAGCAACTGGGCAGGGCCCCTGTGGATGTGCTGGTATGCTGAAGGGATCATGGCTGACCAGAAACCAAGCCACCCCCACCCCCCTTTGATAGTCCTTGTCACATGGAGTAAAATAAAATGGAACAGTGCAAATCCGATGTATGGTTATTTTCTATGAATTTATAACAGAAATGTGGCGTATGTAGTGGGTGAGTGTGAGTGTGTGTGGAGTTTGCACAAACAGAATGATTGGGGTGGGGGGGGGTTCCTGCTACACATAGAACAAGACTGTGGAATAAATATATTATAATACTGGACTGTAGGGTGTGCTGCAAAGCACTGTGGAACACGCATACGCCTGAATTTGCTTGGAGACCTGAATTTGCATCTATTTATATAAAGCAGCACATGTCGTTTTACGCAATTTGGGCCACTGAGTCTTTTCAGTTCATAGGAACATCCCTGTGTATTTTCAGCATTACAAAATTATTTCAACTGAAGGTAGCAAAAAATCAATACATAACATTATGGTTGCCAGTTCCAGGTCATACGAAACTGCATCTCTCTTTCATATTAGATCACATTTTTTTACCCCATCTTTCCTTCAACAAACTGAGGATGGCATACATGGATTTTGCTGTTTCTTCACTCCTTTCATTCTAACAACAATCCTACAAGGTAGGATAGACGTGAGATCGAATTTGAAACTTGACTGTCCTCGGGCTTAGGCTGGTACCGTAGCAGTTTGATTATGACTATGTTGCAAGTCTTATACTGTATACTGCTTAGAGATTTTTGAAATATTAAATGGTTCATCAATGCTCATAAATAAATCTTGCATTAAAAGGTGTGTGTGGCTTTTTGCGTCATCCAGCTGTGAAAGACTGTTAACATTCACAGGCTGGCACATCCTTGTTTGCAGGGGTTCGGAAAAACCTCCCACTTGGACGCTGCGGGCAGGGAGACTTATCTTGTAATAGCCACCAGGCCATGGCTTTGACAGAATGCAAGACCCTGAGAGTTCCCTGTCACACAATCCAAATATTTGAGTGATGTTTGGAGCTGCCTCCAGGAATGGGTGCATGCAGAGAGAAAGGTGTTATTTCCTAGCGTGTGATATGTTGGTGTGTGTATGAAAAACACCCTGGAGGCAGTTTTGCACATACAAATATGCCAGTGTTCCAGTCTTGGGGGGGGGGGACACAAAACATTTCCCTCATTCATTAATAAAAACTCAGGTTCTCAATAGACTTAATTATTAAGCATCAAGAATTTGGTTTCTGTACTGGTGGGTGGATAGTTGATGCCAGGTTTGTTGGTCACAACAATGTACTGGTGCATGGACTGTGTGTGTTGCATACATGTTATATGTGTAGCAGAAGAGGGTTGCTTCTAGTGCCACCACTACATCCCACCACTGATGTGTTTCTTCCTGTTCACACCTAGCTTATACATGGTATTCCATCAATGCATTCCCTTCTTAGAAGAGTGATACATCATCCGGTGGTCCTTGCATCCTGTCAGACCGTAGCTGTCAATTTTTCCCTTTTCTTGCGAGGAATCCTATTCTGAATAAGGGAATTTCACTTTAAAAAGGGAAACGTTGACAGCTATGTTTCAGACTGGGCGTTTGCCTTGCCCAATATCTTAAGAATCAGGTGGGAGATACGCCTAGGCATATTTTTTATTTATTTCACTGCTTAATACATTTATAGGCTACCTTTCCTCTATGGAGCTCAATTCACGGTTCTCTCCCCGTTACCCTCACAATAACCTTGTGGTGTAGGTCAAGCTGAGGCAGTGATTGGTCTAAAAGTCGCCCAGTGGGGCTCATGGCTAAAAGGGGACTTGGAAATCCAATCTCTACAGCAGAGTGCTTCTTACTGGGTTCAATAGGGCTTAGTCTGTAGATGCCAAAAGCACTTGCCATAGTGGGTGTGATGCTGCCCTTTCTGAAGCTCAGGGAGGAAGGCGCTGGGATGTTCGGCTTGGTGAAGGCATTCCAGAAAGTGTTACTACAGTATACAATCCCAACCATGTCAGAAGTAAGTCCTATTGGGTTTAAGGTAAAGGTAAAGGGACCCCTGACCATTAGGTCCAGTCGTGGCCGACTCTGGGGTTGCGGCGCTCATCTCGCTTTATCAGCCGAGGGAGCCGGCGTACAGCTTCTGGGTCATGTGGCCAGCATGACTAAGCCGCTTCTGGCAAACCAGAACAGCGCACGGAAACACCTTTTACCTTCCCGCCGGAGCGGTATCTATTTATCTACTTGCACTTTGATGTGCTTTCGAACTGCTAGGTTGGCAGGAGCAGGGACCGAGCAACGGGAGCTCACCCCGTCGCGGGGATTCGAACCACCGACCTTCAGATCGGCAAGTCCTAAGCTCTGTGGTTTAACCCACAGCGCCACCCTATTGGGTTTACTCCCAGGTAAAGGGCTAGGATTGCAGATAGCAGGGAAGATTTTGCCTTAATGTGCTCCACAGGGCATCCTCTACCCATCCTTTCCCTTAGGAAAGACCTGGTTTGGAAGGGGAGGGTGAGGTGCCACTTACAAAAGGCTCTTGGGAAAGCTGCATGTGATATTTGAGGGGGGTTTTGAACAGATTTTCCTTTGCTGATTATACAGCAAGCTGAATTTTTACACTCCCACTGCACACACAAATACACTTGATAAGAAATCCTAATCCTAGCACAAGCCAGCCTCCTGAACAGCTGATAGCAGAACAAAGGGAAGATTAACGTTTTGCAGAAGTGCTTAGCAAGGGGATTCTCGACCAGCTCCAGAGTCTCCTGTGAAGAAAAACGGTCTCTCGGCTCCCTGCCTTTTGCCAAGACAGAATACTGTGGCTTCAGCTTCTTGCCACTGCCTGCTTGCTCCCACTTGGGGGATTCACCCTCACCCTGCACTTCAGAGCACTAGAGCTGGTGTGGTGTGGACCACAGGGCAGTTTACAGTAGCTTGCCTGCATCATCAACAGGTTCTGTGCGCACCCAAGTTGGTGCTTTTATTCCTGGTGCCTTGGCAACGACGGTGGACAAAAGGACGCCGGAAGCTCCATTTATGCCATCGCTCTCGTCCCAAACATAGAGGTGAGCAGGCAGAAAGGGAAGGTTTCAGAGCTGCTTGGGCCTATGACTGTGTGATTTCGGTCCCAGGTGGAGAGACAGACGGCAACACCCTACTTTAGAAGCAAATGAGAATCGAGGGGTTGCTGGCTAAATACACAATATTTACCGGATACAAAGGGGTGGTGGCACTCTGGCGCCATCAAGACATAAGGGGAAGCTGGATGAAGAATCGATGGGGGTGTGATGTGAGAAACCAGAGGGAGGGGGCGGGAAAACACAGCCTGGAGGTTCATTTTGAGGAACAAGGGGCGGAAAGCAGCTGACCTGCAACATCCTGTGTATTATGCAACTGCTTTCCTGATATTTAAACCAATGCACACTGGTCGTTCTGTGTTGTTGCTGCTTGCCCATTTGAGTCTCAGTCCCCCAAGGGGATCAGTGTAGAACAAAACAGCACTTCCAGCCTCTGAAATTAGGCTAGCTTAGATAGGCCCTTAGGGAAAAAGGGATGCAGGTAAAGTGGAGTGTTTCTTCTTGGGTCACTTAAGTTCCTTCAACGCTCAACTTCAGGAGTGCCATACAGCAGAGAAAGGGAGAAGCAG